TGAGTGTCCCCAGCCTGTAGTGTCGTTATCACCAGCTCTGTCTGGTGAAGATAATACATGAATGAGGCCGGTGTGGGGGCAGTAGTCCGTGGTATGTGTGTGTGTGTGTGTGTGTGTGTGTGTGTGTGTGTGTGTGGTGTGTGTGTGTCGTGTGTGTGGGGGGGGGGGGGTGGGGGGGTGTCTGTGTGGGGGTGGGGGTGGGGGGGGGGGGTGACTCAGGTAGCATGCGATACACACTCGAGTGAAGAGGGCAATGACCACGGTTCACATGATGACATCTCATTTCTCGACCGACTCAATGCATGTGTATCTCAGAGACATATCTTTGTTTGACGTGTTTCGTAAGAATAGGAGCTTGTAACAGCCTGAAGGAGTTCGTGTAGCGGTTGAGAGCTGCGACTGGAATGGACTTCAAGCTCATACAAGCAACAAGATATATCAGAGCTATAGAGTTGTACAGCGTTTGGGAACCTTGCTCACCTTTGCATAACAAAACTGGCGTTACATAACATAACATAACATAACATAGCAAAACAAAACACAACAAAACTGCAGTACTCAACGTTCTGGCAGGCTACGAGAACATGCATATGTAGCTTGTATCATCACACGTTTCGCTACTGCAAAAACAGTACTTGTTAAAAAGGCGTTGGCACTCATTGAACATATCGGTTTACAGGGAGTCTGCGTACTTTACCTCCTAAGAAGGACGAAGAAGCTCAGTCCTAATGTCTCTATCCTCTCATAATTAAATGTTACTTTGCCTGATGCAATTTACAATCCCGTTGGCTACCGTTCGCGACCCAGTCAGCTGATCTGCCATAATAAGTAACTGGTATGGGATCCGTGTGAATAACGCATTGATATTTACAGTCGCTTGCCTATTCTATAAACTTCCTGATAAAAGACATGAACAGGACGGGAGCTGTAGAGTTGTTTTGGGACTACACCCGCAATGTGTTGGGCTGTTTTGGGGATTACACTAAGCATGTGTTGGATTGTTGCCAGAACGTCACCGGTGTAAAGTTGGGAACATGGGCGGGTATGAATAAGTGAATGAATGAAGGAATGAATGATGAAGAGGACGTGAGCGTGAATGCAACACGGCACGCGCGGCAGCGGCAATACCGGCTTTCACCGGCATTAGTAAATATTTATTTCCCAACACAGTTTGTTTCCAGTGTCTCATGGTAACATTTTCTGTACCTTCCACCAGTAGCTTAGGAGTATCTATCATTTAACTGTAACTCCTCCCTGCTATTCCTCTTCACTGCGAATGATTATTTTGTGCTCTCTCAATTGACCTTGCTGTTTGTTCCGCCCATGTTCAAATATTGTAATGTTATTAAATTTAACAAACATTCCTTTATCGCTAGGCCAATGCTATCCAGGTCCAGAAATTGCCAGTTCCCAATTATTTGTGTAGCCACATCTACAGTCGAAAAGATGAAAGTCATGTGGTAAGGATGAAGGTCAACTACACCGTTGAACATCGACGTCCTAAATTGCAATATCGCTGAGTATCACGCTATTTCAAACACGCTGCCAGCAGAGCGGTTGCGGCCATCACTGGATCGAGCCGAGTAAGGGCTATCGGCGCGGCCATCTCATGACGCAGAGCGGTTCAGTGCAACGCGTCCAAACTGTGAATCGGCCGAGCATTAAAATTCGTGGCGCTGGCAGCCGCCGCCGCTGCGGGGAAATGTCGCCTGCTGGCAGGAGGCAGCCGACCATGGCGCGGTGGCGCAGCCGGGCTGCGCTCTGCGGCGAGCGGCGGCGCCAGCGATCGGCGCCACTCTCGGCTCCGCTCGCTGGCGAGCCGAGAGCCCATCAGTCCGCCGACGGTCAGCCGGCACCGTCGACGGGCCGACGCCACCGCGCTGGCCCGAAGACCGGCTGAGGAAGCGGCCGGGCCGACCACGACGGGCTGAAGCTACTGCATTGGCCCGGAGACCGGCTGAGGAGGCGGCCGGGCCGACCACGACGGGCTGAAGCTACTGCATTGGCCCGGAGACCGGCTGAGGAGGCGGCCGGGCCGACCACGACGGGCTGAAGCTACTGCATTGGCCCGGAGACCGGCTGAGGAGGCGGCCGGGCCGACCACGACGGGCTGAAGCTACTGCATTGGCCCGGAGACCGGCTGAGGAGGCGGCCGGGCCGACCACGACGGGCTGAAGCTACTGCATTGGCCCGGAGACCGGCTGAGGAGGCGGCCGGGCCGACCACGACGGGCTGAAGCTACTGCATTGGCCCGGAGACCGGCTGAGGAGGCGGCCGGGCCGACCACGACGGGCTGAAGCTACTGCATTGGCCCGGAGACCGGCTGAGGAGGCGGCCGGGCCGACTGTGACCTCAGGCGTGACGTCATGCGGCGGCTCCGCCAGGCGTGTCGCGCTTCCAGGGGGTCAAATGATGCATCACTCCATGGAATGTAAACTTCTGTTTTGTTTGGAGCATGGACTTGGAATGGCTCTCCCTTAACGCGCTTCCGGAATGCCATAGATTAGTTGCCAACACCAATTTGCTGATCGTGCTCTATGTTATCTGTAAAGACGCACCACACGTGAAACAAACACGCCACAGTTCGGCGGTGTGATTGTGTCGCATGTCTGATCGACAAGAGCAAGAGACGACTAAATTATCACAGCCGTTCAACAGACACGTAAACAAAATTTTCTTCGGGAAGAAGAGGCAAGTGTTAACACGCGTGCGGGTGGTCAGTTAAATGCGACGCGATCGGTCGGTGGGAAGGGGTGTGGTCGACTCGATCCCTCCACTGAGATCTCAAAATCTGAGAGAACTAGATACCAAAGTTACTGGATAGATGGACCTGTATATGAATGTGCATGTGTTAATACAGGATAAGGATGCCACGTGTGTTCAAGTTTGAGATCCTCTGGTAATAACATCCGTGCCAAATTAGGTCAAATTCTGGATCGGTGACCGAAGTGTACCCAGACCAACACATACAACCGCCTTTACCCTAGATACCTATTTTAAGCAAAAGGTCCCTGATATCTGTTTTAGGTCAGTGACATCATCTGCCGTTTGGAAAGTCATGCTGACCAAAACCTACCAGATTGATTTGTTTTTTGAGTTGAGGTCGGGATGGGGGATTAGGTTAGGCGGTATGTTCCCCAAAACCAAAAGGTTAATCGGGGTCGTAGAACGACAGTAACCTTCCCTGCCCTTAATGAAGTAAGTAAGTCAGGGTGAGATCTTTGTTGGCTTCCCTGTGACCAAGAAAATTCGAAATAAACATAAAAACTACATTATAAAGCAAGTTCTACAATACAAATTAGGCTTGGTTTTGATTTCATCTTGAACTTCTTACCTGGCACAAAATCAATGAAATTAGTTATAAAACTAAATTTGAATGGCCAATTGCCTGAGAAATTGTCTCAGAGCTGAATGGATTCGTCTAACATACATATATTGGATTGGATTCATTCAGATCAGATTCTCATGAGATGGTCCTCGTTGACTGACAGCCATGACGTTGACAGCCATGACCTGATTTTGGCATGTCGTAGGTCAGCGATCTTTAGAATTACGTCGTATTTTTACACTGAAAGGTCCCCTATTCAGCCGCGCACAGCTATGCAAAATTTGCCACGTTGATTAAAAAATATTCTGGGAAAAACTCCGGGGGTTTAAGTTGAGCCCCTCCAACACGAACGCACCTTTAACTGACTTCGAAATCCTGTGAATTCGGAAGAAATCCCCCTGAAATTGCCTCCTATCGGCGTCAGTCTTTCGACTCAGGTGTGGCATGGGCTCCCGTGGTTTGACTCAGGTGTGGCATGGGCTCCTGTGACCCTCCCCTCGGCTACTTTCCTGTTGTGCAACCAAATACTTTGCCTTCACCCCGTGGCGAAGTTTGAAAGCTGTGGCGATAGGCATACACTTCTAGTTAGATGACGAAGCACTAAGTTATGTCTTCGCGAAACCACTTTGCTTGATGTCAGGAAATGAAAGGAATTAGGAGGTTGCAAGAGGAGTTATATTCCTCCCCTCCCCTCACCCTTAACATCAGCACGAGATCAACTCAACTTGGCTGAGAAAAAAGCCAAACACGTTGGCTCGTCTTAGGCTTGCATATCTCGTGAGTGTTGTGCGCCTAAAGGCATAATCCTTCGCAGCTTTTGTTTTGTTTTCTTTCCTGCTGCGGTATCTATCGATTGCCAGAGAAGAGCAGGCTTGCAAATAATTGTCTCGTGTATGTGATAGTTGCCGACAGTTTGGCCGCAGCCCGTGAAGCAAGTGGAATCGACTTATAAAACCCAGGCGCACTCTCTCGAAAAACAGACCTTCAGCGTCTCCTTTCGAGTCCCCGGCTGTTCGCTGCAGGCTATGTAGCCTCGTACGTGGCCATTAGACTCCAATGGCACACAAGGGTGCTGCTTCCGGCCCCACCCAGTTACCACATTCCTGTAGACAACTTCCAGCACTTCCCAGCCCTGAATGGGCGCTCGGATCGCTGACGACTCCGCGCCGTCTGATGGTCTCGCAGGCAGGCAGTCCGGAGATATTCGCCGCCATTTGTAGCGGTCGAGCCGCGCAGGACAATAGACCCGCACCCGGCCAGCTCAGCCCGGATTCCCAGGGTCCGGGCGGGCCGCCGGGCCGCGGCGGCCGCGGCAGGAGCGGCGCCGGTCGCGCCGGCCGCCGCCGCCACTCAGCGCCTGCCAGATGGCGGTGTTTTTGCTGGCCGTCGGTCGGGTCTGTCGAGCGGGCCGCGCGGGAGCGCCGCGGGCGATGCTACTGCCGATAGCGGCTCGCGGTAGTCCGGCCCGCCCGCGTCAAACCCCGCGCCGTAAACAGGGCGGCGCCGGCTGAAGTTGGGAGTGCTGGCGCCGGCCGGCCGCCGAGGCGCCGGCCGAACTTGATGACAGCTGTCGGCAGCACATGTCTGCCGAGAGGCGGCCCGACGAATACCAAGGAGACGGCCGGCCGCGGAGGATCGCGCCAGCTCAGCCGAGCCGAGCCGCCGCACTCACCACGTCGATGAGCTGCGAGAGCTTGAGCTTGATGAACACCTGCAGCTTGTCGGTGTTGTTGACGACCGGTCGCACCAGCTTGTTGTAGTTGGAGAGCAGGTCGTCGTACAATCTGGACGCGTCTGGGTTGGCGGCGGCCCGCAGCGCGGCCAGGGTCGAGAGAAGCCAGGTCACGGCGAAGGCCCGCATATCGCCGACAGGAACCGCCGCTACCACCTCGGTCACTGCACCACCGTCGCCGCAGACGCCCCCTCAGCCGCGGCAGTGCTGCGGCACTGACTGCAGTGGCAGCCAGTTGGGTTCACTGCGCGTCGGTGGCGATCAGAGGAGACCGTCGCTGTCACTGAAAGTCTTCACTGCGCATTGCGTCACTGGAGCCTTTCGTTCCGTGTTACCATCACTCCCAGCGGCTGTCCGAGGCCTTCGCGTCGCCAGGCTGCCTCGTCACTGGTCATCTGCCGTCCATCAGGCGCCCATCAGCCGTCCATCAGCCGCTGATCTGCCAGTGATCTTCTCCACGCCATCGGCCGGTCAGAGGGCAGCCGCGCGCGGCGCCGCTCGTCCCGCCGCCGGCACCGCCCCCGGCCATGTCGGCGCCCCTGGCGCCACTGGCGGCCGCCGCCGCCCCACGCTATCTCTCGCTTGGGGCGTCGGTGGTGACCGCGCGCGCCGCCGCCGTCGCTCGCGGACGATAACGCTGCCCCCAGTGGCGGCGGTCAGGTGGCGGCTGCGCCAATTGTCGGGTCAGCTGGTCAACGAGGCAGCGGTCAGGGACGTCGGCGCGTGGCTGTGAGACCGCCGCAGACCAGAGGTCCTCACCGGTTCGAGCTTTTTTACCCAATCGCTCGAGTCTTGGTCACACCTACCAGTTACTCGTTAAAAATCATGGTATTTACCAGTGACGTACCCGTTTAATATTATTCCTAGGAATTATGCTATAGACAGACAGGCAGTGTGGAAGACAGCTGGAATGTTTCGAATATGGATATATTATTTACCCTACAAGAAATTGCTGTTTAACCTAGAAATATGGTTTATACAAGGCAGAGCAAGGCACAAAGGGCACAAAACTGCAACTTTATTCTGCTCGAAACATAGGAAATTGGTAGAAATCCACACCCATACTATCCCAGGTATTTTCCAGGCGTTTACAGCATATCGTAACCGTCACGAGGTCCATAACGAAATCAGACCGTTACTCGTTATAAGTGGGTACCCATGCAGAAGGGTAATCAATCGTAAATGCATCCCTACCGGTGGCTTGCTAGTGATCACGGCAGTTGTGAAATCAGCTGCTGATCCAGGCAGTGACCATGGACGTCCACTTCCGCCATGGCGTATTCGATGACTACGGCGGTAGCAAAGGCAGAGACGGCAGGGCAGGGAGCTGCCGACAACGCCAGCAGGGGAAGGAGTGCTGTGCTGCACCGGTTCTCGCCCCCCCCCCCCCTCTCTCTCTCTCTCTCTCATCACCCCCTTGTCTAGCCTACCGCTCGTTGCCAGTGCCCCTCTCTCGCCCTCTTCCAGCCGCGGTCCGCGACGCATCCCCAGACTCTGGGCCGGCCCGATGACTGGGTGGCGCGTTGCTCGCTCTCCGATCGTAGGTGCGTCGATGACGAATGACGCCTCTTCGCTCCCCCTCCCCTTGGCGAGTCCGACGGCGTGTTACATTATTGCTGCGAGTGTGCTGAGTGGCGCTGGCTGCCACCCCAGGAAGCGACAGCGGGAGTCCCGCGTGGCGTCCGTGGTGGTCAGCGCCACGCCAAGTGTGCACCTTCCAGCCGGTGAATATCTATTTTTCGGCGCGCGAAGTTGCCTCGGTGGTCGGCAAACAGTGTCGTCTTCTGATTCGATTGGCTTGTGGTCAGCTGGAAACCAGGGCGCCTGATCCACGGCGGCACCAGCCCGCAGCTCGAGTCGATTAATAAGCCACCAAATGGCCTCTTCCGCAGTAAAAAGATATCTGCTTTTTTGGCGGCTAAGGGGCCGCCCATGAGTTGTTATGTATTGAGGAGAGAAGAGTGAGGCGTTTGTGGAGCGTAACAAACGCGAAACAAGGGAGGATTTGTTGTGCTCCTTCACAAACGCATCCGATATATTGTTTCGCATAAATACCTCAACTGGGTGCCAAACGCATATTACTTTGTGATGACGCTACGTTTAGCACAGCGTAACCAGGGAGGAGTGCCCATCGTAACCAGTCCATACCCAGGTGGAGAAAGGGTTGAGGAGTGACCGAAAATGCGTAACCTAATTGACGGACGGACCCTGAAGCCGCCTGGTTAGGTCGTTTCCCAGCATATGCACCTATCGCACAAAAGTACATTGCAAGCACATGTCTGTGACTCGTACATTGGAGTGCGCAGAAAATGTGATCACCTACGACGTGTGCAACGTACATGGTCACCTCTGAAGATGCAGTATGTTATGCGAAGTATGCATGTGTGGCATGTCGCGCACGCGGCGTACGTACATAATTACGCATTGCGCACGTTTTGAGTGGTTGCATTGACATCTGATGTTGCGTCGAAAGTTCGGCGGAATAGAAAAGTGAATGAAATTGTTTGGTTGGAAGAAGTTGACTAGAGATTCGTCCGCTGACAGTTCATAATAACAATGTTCAGCGTAGCCGATGCGTGCAGCCTGATAGCAGATGCAGGAATAGATATTTCCAGTACATTTTGGCAGGCATGCGATGAACACAGAAGGCGCACATTTTCAATGCAAATTGTAACGTAAACGTGTTAAGGCTATATACTGACATCCCGTGGATGTTATGAGATCAATGCAGCACAGATATTTCATCAACTGGCAGCCTTGTAAACCTGTCATCCTCTTGTAGATGGCTTCAAAATCCCCTTTATCAAACTCTAATCTTCCAGAGCGTCTCACCGTCACAGCGTTCTGAGGCATGGGGCCGAGTCGCGGCGGAAGAGTGGGGTGCGGGGAGGGGGCGCTCCCGGCCGTCTCCGGACTGGACCGGCTCGCCCGCCCGTGGCCGGCCCGTGCCATGACCTCTGCTAGCTTCAGCACCGGCACAAGAGGCGAGCGACGGTCGATCTGGACGTGGACAGTTTTACTGCAGATTGACCCCGCCCTGCTATGAGGGCCCGGCAATTCGAGCCCCGCCCCGGCCAGGCCCGGCCAACAGCTTCAATTTGCGTCGGCTGGCGGCGCCGGTGCCTGATGGCTCCTGTTTTCTTGGCGTCGGAACAGAAGGCGGCTGAAAGATCGCGGCTGATGATGTATCAGATCCTGCGTGGTCGCCGTAGGAGCCGCCCTGATGGATCTGTGGCACAAGGGCTGACCGAGCACGATGTTTCCTGGACATGGCCGAGGCGGAGGACGGACCTGCCAGCCAGGCCATGTGGAAGAAGCACGTGGCTTTGTATACCTTCGGCCCCATATTTCGGAATGCTATATGTCACTTAACTGATAGAGAGGAGGCCACCATACAATAACATCATTTGTGGATGTTATTGTACCCCAATATTTAAGGACTTAAGGGATTGTTTCGCATTTGAAGGTATTGAAACAAATACCAGATATGGTGAAATAAGGTCACTTTTAACTATCGGCACACTTTTTAGTTAAAGAGATTGCCCTAGACAACACAATTCCTCTATTTAGTAAATATGATTCTCAACACATCATTGTTGGATTGCGTCATGGAACGTTTGTATGACGTCGAAGTTCTGCCAAACTAGTCGTGCGAAGTTGCTACCCTAGCACTTACTTGCAATACTTCAACCGCCCGCGAGGTGACACTGGCGGGTACTGAACAAAATATTGTTATGTGCTCGTGTTTTGGCCCTTTCTAGTCACACTATTGCACACTAATCCGTGAGTAAGGACGTTTGGTTGTACTGGCGTACTCGGTTATGGCGCTTCTCTTAAGCTTTTTTAAAGATAAATCCGAGCCCTTTGAATGGATGGATTTCTTGGATTAGAGCTCACGCTAAGTAGTGCTTGTTGTGTGGGCCCTAGTCCCTACCATCTGATCACGCAATTCCAGACAGCGGCAGAATTTTGCGGCAGAAGTCTGACGTGCCACGATGCTCTACACGGTCTATTAGTCAATTAGTTAAAGCTTTTAACGTCGTCGATTACAAGCATTATTTTCGTACCAGTACCTAGTAAGGTTGTCCAGGTTCTTGCATTTTGTAGAAAAAGAAGATTTGTCGTTGACATCCGATCCCTGTTTCCTCTCCCTTGCTTTGACCTGCATCCTCACGACGCCCTGCTTGTTTGGGGCAGGTTGCATTCGTTAAACCCGGGTGGGTTGAGGGGCCCCCTGGAGGGGAACCCCGACTGGGCGCCCAGCGCACACCCCGCAGAGGGGTCTCTGGACCGGCTAAGACTGGGCGGTTGGCCCGTCTGGCACATGTAGTCCTGCCCCACCGTTACCCATTCTTCTTCCTCCCACAGCCCTGAAATGATCATTTCTGGTCAAAGGAGTCCGAATTCGAATAACAAAATAACCGAAGTGTGATGTAAACTAGCACAGCGTGCACAAGACGAGTTGAGAGCCAATTAAAAACCGGTACATCTGGACATCGTACCCACGAACGCCAGAGATGAACGGCTCGACAATTATATTCTTGTCGGCCTTGAACGATGCGCAGCTGATAGGGTGGCAGAATTTAAATAACGTTTTCTGTGACGTCACGCATGCCTAAATGACCCTGAAATAGTCTGCACGAAAAAGTCCGCACGTCTTCGCGGGCTTGTCACTAAAAAACTGGAGGTTTTAGGTCCCGCGAAGGACATGGCTGTGAACTGAATGGTATTATCTTCAAAATGTTTCTCAGTTCAAAATCCCATACAAAAGTGGAGCACTCCCATTAGCATTGCTCCTGTGCCACTGCATGCGGGAGCCAACACAAATTCCGTTTTTATTCTTAGCTTTTAAGGTAGAGTTTCACTCTGCTATGCACACCAGATCAACTTTATACTATGATAGAAATCAGCTGTACTACATGTTCATCTATAAACCTACTGGGCTACAGGTTTGGCACATGTGCAACTTACTGCAATTTGTAGCAAACTTCTTCGTCAGCAACTGAATGTACGCTGCAAATCCGATAGGCAGCACAGCGATCGAAGAGGCACAAAAGGCTCTGCCTCGGTGTTATCTACCTCATTCCCTGCATTCCCTCATCCCTACATTCTCTCATTCCCTTCTGGTAAGCGTGAAACCATGCTGAGAACGTATTGCGCACGTGCCCGGCCCGCACTGGAGTCCACGGTACCCGCAGCGGTAATGGTCTGTTATTAGCGGCGCGGGGCATAACTCAGCGGCGCACGTCATGACCGGGCGTCCGCCGTTCAGACGCACCGAGTCTGCTCGTCCCCGCTGGGACCACCGCAGAACGGCACCGCCCAGAACGAGGCGGCACCTGATGAACACGACGCAGTCTGAATGACGGCCAGCGACCTGCGACTAACGACACCTGGTCCGCCGACCGTCACAGCCCGGCACCTGATGAACACGACTCAGTCTCAATGACGGACAGCGACCTGCGACTAACGACACCTGGTCCGCCGATCGTCACAGGCCGGCAGCTGCGTGCTGCTGGGACACGCGCTCTCGTCCGCCGAAGCGTCAGGCTCTATTTTAAGCCGATGCGTTCGCGTCGGAGGCAGTGGCAGTAACCTCATCTGGCGGGAGGGCAGTGGCAGTAACCTCATCTGGCGGGAGAGCGGTCCGTCTGGCAGCCCGTGCGGTCAGAATTGCATGAACTTTGCATTATTCAACGGAACGAACGACCATGCAGTCCAAGCTGAGCTCCATTCTGTCGTCTTCCGGCTCATTCTAGCTCTCCCACCACCCGAATATCTTCCTTTCTGCCGATCCAGCCGGTTGGGAGCCGGTCTCTGGATCTCGCTCTTTGCCAGTTCCCCTTTCGCCGCTTGCAATAATTCCGTCACCCACTCTCCATGAGTGTACACGCTTGCCACTTTTTCCTCCAGCTGAACTGACGGCTCGCCTTCCAGCTTTCATCGGCTAGTCATCTTGTTCCTTGTTCAGCTTGGATTAGAACAAATGAGAAGATGCTGGTCTTGGAGATGGTTCGGCTAGATGCCACCACAGTAGCAAATCGCCACGCAGCTGCTTCACCCCCGGCCCGAAAACGGAACATCAGGGTTTGTAGAGACTTTTTTCATCACGGCGCAGTGCTAGATTCCACGAAAGTCGGGGCGACGTGTCGACATTTCCTTGTGGCCACGCTCCCATGTGGCGGAACAGTACGACGGACCGACTTGCCCTGTGGCCACGTCACGCTCCCATGTGGCGGAACAGTACGACGGACCGACTTGCCCTGTGGCCACGTCACGCTCCCATGTGGCGGAACAGTACGACGGACCGACTTGCCCTGTGGCCACGTCACGCTCCCATGTGGCGGAACAGTACGACAGACCAACTTGCCCTGTGGCCACGCCACGCTCCCATGTGGCGGAACAGTACGACGGTACGACTTGCCTTGTGCCCCCCCCCCCCCCCCCCCTGCTCCCATGTGGCGGAAGAACGTTTCCGACGACGCATCCGTCCGCGATCTGGTCCGGCTTCTTCGCTCTGAGACAATACCGTGAGTACCATGGGAGCGCTAGGGTGCCTCGTCCCGTAACGCTCGAAAACAGTTACCGTAGCGTCCGCAGTGAAATCTACGGAAAACATAAATCGCATGTCTCAGCGCCCCCTTCGCCGCTTCCCATTTCCAGACATGCCCCACTGGGGAATGTAATTATGGCGTCGTGACGTCACGCGGCGTTTTCTCCGGACCCCAACACCGCGTGAGCTATCGACGGCCGACGCCCCCTCCCCCCCTCCCCCACCCACGTGTCACACGCCCGCACTGCGGCCCACGCCAGTCACGCGCCTGAGGCGCCCCTTCCAGTCACGTGACCCGTAAAGTCCGGCCCGAGGGCTGACGGCCGGCCGGCGGCTGTCACGTGACCTCGGCCGGCCGACCGCTGGCGGAGTCTAACATCCGGGGGGGGGGGGGGGGGAGAGATCTATGTAACTGATGGCTAAGTGTGAAACCGGGCGGATTCAGTAACCACGCAACCACGCTCCAAAAGGTCGATTCGCTGCAAAGGGTAATGCAGGAGCGAACAGAAGGCAGGACGAGAGCTTGATAAAGGAGTGGGAGCGACGACCCAGCATGAGTAGACAGGGTGTGCACCTATAGTAGCCCCGAGGTCACATGTCTTCTACCTCCCCCATACCAAAGTTCTGGCACGTAATATTTGCGCGACTTAATATTGACAGACATTTAAAAATAAGAAGGATAAGAATACGCAATATTGTCTAACTACGCAGGGAACTGCACGTGTCTGCTTCGTGCCAAACTCAGTTTCAGTGATAGATTTGAAATTGTGTAGCCTCCAATGCGAAACCCTGTGGCAATGCTGAAGTCAGGAAGGAGCAGTTAGGAGGGCTTTTTAATGAGAGGCGCAGCCAAGGGCACTGACAACACTGCCTAAGCTGGGCACTACCTGAGCTCACAGGCTTTAGCCCCCCCCCCCCCCCGTTCCGTGGGGGGTCGCGCGCGGTTTTTTCGGGACCCAGTGAATCCAACTAAATTCTGGTGGTCCTCCACATCACCATCGTAAGTTTTGGCTGCACGTCCTCCCTTACCGTCGCAAATCATGGCTGCACCCCAGTATACAGTCCTTTTGGCTGTGCACTGCTTCAGTTTTTCGTAGGTCTGGCTACTTTGAAGAAGATCGCCACATACGCTTTCTTCGCTGACGGCGACAAGGTGGAACCCATGCTGCTGCATGCAAGGTTGATGCTTTGCGTCCTGGCCACCAGGACGGAAATTACCCCCCTGTTACTTGCCGCACACCGCCGTGTTTTCAATCGCTGACAGGTTACTCTGATGACTGCCAGATCACTAGTTCCAGGACAAACCCTGGCCTCTCCGATAGCCCGACGTATATCGGTGGATTCCCATCTCCAATGCCGGCGACCGCCGGATCTCCAGGGGCCTGCGCGCTGTTGAATCTCCGGTAATAATCCCTGACGGAGACTGCGAGATTCTCGCTGCCTTCGACACTGCCGGATCTTGGCATATACCGTGACGAAGACTACTGAATCGCCGGTGATCTGTCGGTCTGAACTGCCAGACCTCCTGTTCCCGGACAGAAAACGGCGCGGCGACAGCCAGGTCGGCGACGGCGGTCAGTTCAGCAGCGGCCGTCAGGTCACCAGCGGCCTTCAGGTCAGCGGTGATGGTAAGGTCAGCGGCGGCGGTAACGTCAGCGGCGATGGTAAGGTCAGCGGCGACGGTCAGGTCAGCGGCGACGGTCAGGTCAGCGGCAGCGGTCAGGCCGGCGTCGGCGGCTTCCGTGCTGCGTCGCTGACCGGTGACGGGCTCCCGCCCGGACCGGCAGCCGCCAGCCGAGCACGCAGCGTGGCGTTGCGTTCAACACCGCCTGGTCCGCCCCAACATAGCGGCAACACAAATCAAATCCGGACAGGACCCTTGAGGATATATTGAGCGACGTAGATGCTCCACATGCAGCACACAGCCCATCCAGATAAGTGGAGGCGCAGAAAGCAGGCTATTGCGCACCATACGTTAACCGCGGCATAAATAAGTACAGGAGAGCTAGGTTGATCCCGCAGGCACTACCAAGAAAATCCTGGCAAATGTTGTACCACTGCAGTCAGCGACACGACACTGCTATACTGCAGTCAGCGGCATGACACTGTCGCACTGCAGTCCGCGGCATGACACTGTCGCACTGCAGTCAGCGACACGACACTGCTACACTGCAGTCAGCGACACGACACTGCTACACTGCAGTCAGCGACACGACACCGTCATACTGCAGTCAGCGACACGACACTTATACTGCAGTCAGCGACATGACACTGTTATACTGTAGTCAGCCACACGACACTTATACTGCAACCAGCGACACCACACCGTTACACTGCAGTCAGCGACACGACACTGTTATACTGCAGTCAGCGACACGACACTGTTACACTGCAGTCAGCGACATGGCACTGTTACACTGCAGTCAGCGACACGACATTGCTACTCTGCAGTCAGCGACACGACACTGCTACACTGCAGTCAGCGACACGGCACTGTAACTGTATATCGCAGTGCACGAGCCCACCGACAGACACAGAAGCCTGCTCTGTCCAACGAGCAACGAGCTCATCCAACGCAACTGGAAGCACACCTCATAACATGAAGTCTAAAAACTCTCCCAGCTGTGTGACTGTTCCGATATTGCACCCGATCCTCCATCGGTGCAATGGCTATCCATATCATCTCCCAAGGCCTGACGCAAAGACAAGGCTGCAGCGAAGACGATAAGCTCAGACGGGTGGGCGGAGCGGCGCAATAAACGTGGCGCAGATGCGTCGATTCGCTCCCATGCCATCACTTCACATTTTGATCAACCTGTTTCTCAGATAACCTGAAACGCATTCTTCGCGTCTTGCGCGTCGTCTACCCTGACTTGGGAAAGACGGGCGTCGCCAATCCACATATTCATCAGGACCGTAGGCCCCGACAATCCGCCAGCCGTCGTTAAAGCCGCCGTGACCAGCCACCTGGTCAGACGGACCGCGCGCCGCCCCGGCGCCCGCCCCAATCTCAGCGAGACCACGAGCCTCTATCACCGGGCGGCCCTTGACTGTACACCGACACCGGTTCTGCGCCCGCACGAGAGGCTTCTGCGTTCTTCTACAGCGGCGTGGCCTGTCGGCCAGTGTGTTGAGCATGGCACGGCGCGACCACCGGCCGGGTCATCCAGCCGCCGTCCAGGGACGGGAAGGACCAGAACTCCTGCCCTGCAGCCCCGCCCTACCACGCCGCTGAGAGCAGTTAACGGCGCCAACAGCCAGCGGAAGTCGACGCACGTAACACGTATTGCACGTCGAGAAGCAGCCAAGTCGGAGAGTAGCGCCGCCTAACGTAAGAGCCCCGCCTCCAAGCGGCGCTCTCGTCGCACCGGATCCCAGCCCACAGACGGCGCCACCGGAAGACCAGCTCCCGTCCTCCTCAGGTGGTAGGTCGGAGGCCACCAGCCGGCGCCACCGTCGCCTCAGAGTCCGGCCTCCAGGCGGCGCAGGTGCGGCTCCACCTCGCCTGTGTGCAGGTGGAGCGCGAACTCGAGCGCCACCAGAACCCCGAACTCGCAGTTGATGAGGTCGCGCCGGTGGATGCGGAATACCGTCTCGGTGCGCTGTCGCGGGGGGTGGGCGTGGTCAGCTGGCGTCCGCTACGGGCCGGCAGCCAAGGCTGGCCTGCCACTCCGCACACTACACAGCCACACTTGGCCAGCGGCGCCAGGTAAGCGTGCGTCCAGTGGCGCCGATTTATGTACAAATTAGAATTTAATGAGCCAAGTATTTCCGTCGTTTCAAGCAAAATACTTTTCAGTAAATTTTCCGCGTTCAAAATGGAGTTCAGTGGGCGAACACTCGTCACACTGCCCGCACCCACACCTGGGCTGCACCTAACCAGCTAGCTGCGGCAGAATAGACAAACAGTTATTCAGCATATAACATGTTCTAACAGCAGGGATATCACCCTGAAAAGCCTCGTCTCGTCCAAAAGCCTCACTCACCTACCACTAGACCCCATCACCGACTAGACGTGACCGGACGCTTGCCCCCACTATACCCCAACACCCGCCAGATGTCACAGGAACACTTGCCCACCACTGCATCCCGCCACCTGACGGACGCGGCCACACACCTCCATCAGTTGGCTCATGGTGTCTCCCTTGACGTCGTTCATCTTGGCGGCGAGCAGGAGGCAAGCGCCGGCCACCAGCTTGCGGTTGGGCTTGTCGATGAGGCCGCGCAGCGCCAGCTTCTCGAAGTAGACGTGCGCCTGCGCCACGCTCAGCACGTCGATATGGCAGTCGGCGGCGATCCGACGTAGGTCGCGCTTCAGGCTGCAGCGTCCGAACACCGTCCGGTCACGGCTGGCTCCGCGCGGCCCGGCGCCGAGCGTGGCTCGCGACGACGACAGCCAGCCCGGCGGTGGGGTCACGCCACAGGTATTGGGTCGGACTTGGAGCATTCGGCTCCGTTCCACGTGACTTTTTTCACAGCCGAAACGCCGACCGAACAAACAGGGAGATGGCATGCTCTTACTCTGCTCATCCGCGCACTCTGAAGTATAATCACACCACTGATCACAGCGGAAAACGCCCGATACCAACGCAAACAAGACCACGACGCAATACCAGTAAATCACCGCAGCTGGACCGGCCGGCAGCGCCTCCCATCTAAGTGCAGCGCCACAGGGGCCGGTCACCCGTGGGGCCGGGGCCGGGGCCGGGGCCGGGGCCGGGGCGCGGCGCACTCCTCACCTGCGCAGCTTGGAAAGCGTTAGCCGGATGTGTGGGAACTGCTCGCGGAACTGCTCGTTGGTGACCCGCTTCAGGTCGGACGGCTTCATGTAGTCGATGATAGACGACTGCGGACAGCGCGGCGTCAGGGTGTCCAGCAACAGCACCCACGTGGCATGCTTCGGATCAGTCGGCCATACAGCTCAAGGCAGTCGGTTTTTGCACCATCGCCGTGCGACCCAAACAAAGCCAGCTTTCCGCACTGCCAGCGAGTCTGACCCCAGCGTCAGCCCGCCGCGCCGACCCGCGGGCCAGCGCAGGTCACGGCAGGTCACCGGCGGTATCCTGTCTCACGGCTGACCCCAGGTCGCCCTCCCCCGGCTGTACTGACCCGGTACGACCTGAAGGTCAGCACGGTGCGGTGATTCTCGGACTGGGTCTCCGGGTTGTCCAGCAGCAGCGGATCGTACGGAACGCCGCTCGCCTCCTGAGCCGACTCCTCATCCACCACTGCAACAACAGCGCCGCCGCTGACGCCAGCCAACAGTCTGGCGCCCGTGTGCCGGCAGCAGCGCGGAGCCAACGCGCCACAGACGTCACTGGGCGCTGATGTAACCCTCACAGAATGGCGGACGTTGTTTTGCCGCCTCGAGACAGCGTCACAACGGGCCGCCCATTGCGGTTCGACCGGTCCACAGGCGGGACAAGCAGTCTTTCCCCTCGGCACGGACGCTGAGCCGACCGTGACCTGCGAGATGCAGCACTGCTGACCTGGGCGAGTGTGCACCACTGACCTGGGAGGAGTGGTACCCCACACCCGGCACGGGTGGCCTGCATGGGACGGGCATGGCCTACCCAGCCTGTGTGAAGCCGCAGACATGGTATGAGCAGCGGCACTGAGGTCGGGCGACAGGCACACCTGACCTGAGAGGGGACCACATCACTGCACTGAGAGCAGGCCACATTTTTGACCCAGGAGGGACAGCACTATTTGTCCAGGGACGGGATGCACTGCTGATCTGGGAGCAGTGGTAACACTAACCTACGATGAATGCCACCATACACCAAGCAGGGTCACCACCGCTGACCTGTGAGGAGCGCCGCCTCACTGACCTCTGTCACTGGACCAGCTGGAGGAGGCGGCGCGGCCACCGCTGCTCGGCTCGTGCGACACGCATCGGTTCAGGCTGAGCTGGGCATTGCGCTGGTGGACGACCGCCGCGCCTCCAGCTCGTTCTCCACCCGAGTGGAGCCGGCGCGGCAGGCGGCCGCCGGCGGAGGACGGCAGCAGAAGCTCGCTGTATGACACCTCCTGACAGTGGGACAGAGTATAGTCACAGCATCTCCTGACAGCAGGACAGAGTATAGTCATAGCACATACTGACAGCGGGGCAGAGTATAGTCACGACACCTAATGACGGCAGGGAAGAGTATAGTCACAGCACCTCCTGACGGCGGGCAGAGTATAGTCACAGCCACCTCCTGACGGCGGGGCAGAGTATAGTCACAGCACCTCCTGACGGCGGGACAGAGTATAGTCACAGCACCTCCTGACGGCGGGGCAGAGTATAGTCACAGCACCTCCTGACGGCGGGCAGAGTATAGTCACAGCACCTCCTGACGGCGGGCAGAGTATAGTCACAGCACCTCCTGACGGCGGGCAGAGTATAGTCACAGCACCTCCTGACGGCGGGCAGAGTATAGTCACAGCACCTCCTGACGGCGGGCAGAGTAGTATAGTCACAGCACCTCCTGACGGCGGGCAGAGTATAGTCACAGCACCTCCTGACGGCGGGCAGAGTATAGTCACGGGCAGAGTATAGTCACAGCACCTCCTGACGGCGGGCAGAGTATAGTCACAGCACATCCTAACAACGGGGCAGAGGAGTCAGAGCGCTTCCAGGCGGCGGGACAGAGCGTCGTCACAGCACTACCTGACGGCGAGGCAGAGGACCATTAGCGCAGACCGCACCACGTGCGCCTTATACACCAGCAGCACGCCCGCATAGCCTCACCCCCGCTAGCCGGATGTTAATGACAGCGCGTGAGCAATGACCATCTACAGCAGCAGCATGCTCTTCAGCGACGGGCTTGGGCCCCACTGTGCCCGCTCCCGGGGCCCAGCTGCCCCGGCTGACCTGGCCCTCCTGCAGCGGCTCCATGCCTAGCAGCGAGAAGGCGTCCACGCGGTCGGCGATGGTGGAGAGCGGCGCGCGGCTGCCCGAGTTGTAGCGCCTCCGCGAGTTCAGGTCGCCGCGCTCGTGCCTGCCGACAGGACGCGGCCCGGTCGGTGTCGCGCCACACAGCCCCGCCGTCGCCCGCTGGCAGAGCCGGCGCCGACCGGGCGGCGGCTCGGGCGCGACGGCCATCATACGTGATGGCTCAGGAGGACGTGCTTGGTGGGATACAGCAGAGAACGATGGACCGATGCCTTCGATCTGTTTCATTTGATGAACTTAACTCAAAAGTAAGTTTCTGGATAGCGGACTCATCAGAGACCGGCGCGCCCATACAGCCATGCTAGTGCCGAGACAGCCCTCTTTCATAGAACGGTTTGCGGAAGGGGGAGTGTCGCGGATGCTATGCGCTCTGCCAAGAGCAGTACAGCTCAGTGAATGGCAGCACCCGCCGCCGAGCGCTGGCTGACTGTCGGACATCGGCATGCCCACCGCAGAGCTACGCGGCGTTTGCCAACTCAGCACGGGCAGCACACAAGAGTCGGCGCCTGCACGGACCACACCCGTCACCCACCGCTCCCGGCGGCCGTGGCGTGTGACGCGGCCCACCGGCAGCGACGAGAGCACCAGCAGCGGCAGCCGCGCGCCGCCCACCAGCACCAGCCGGTCGTCGCCGAAGCAGGCACGGTCGCGCGCCGCCGGCAGGAACCGCACGCCCGGTGCCGACACTTCGGACACGCTGCCGCACAGCTTGTGGCTGCGGACTGGGAGAGGGGAAGAGGGGGGGGGGGGGGGGGCGGACGTCAGACGCTCCGGCCCCGTCTGCGGAGCGGCGCCGAGCGACGGCCTGGCCAGCGGTGGGTCACAGGCGCCGACTGGGCCGTCAACGGCGTCAGCTGGACCAGCGCCGTCACGGCAGCCGCAGACCCGTCCGGCGGGCTGGTAAACCCGGGCCCGACGCCGTCTGAGGCACGACACGGCCACAGCAATGAGACAAGTTCAGCATATGCCGCAGCTGCTTCTTTCAATAAATGACAGTCCAACACCGCTGGCGACAATTCCGAATGAAGCCATCAGTGATACCGCTCCCCATCCCAGAAAAACACAGCAATCTGTCAGTGCGGGCGCGGCCGTATGCCCGCTTTTCTGCGACTCGAGAGCAGCCGGGAGCGGCGGCGGGTGTCAGTACTGACCGCTGCCGCAGACGCTCTCGCAGCTGCTGCTGCCGTGGCCGAGCATGTCGTCCAGCAGGCTGCCGATGTTGGCCTGCTGCACCAGCCGGCGCACCCTGCCGTCAGCTTCACTGCCCACCGTCTGACACCTGTGGGGGGTGGGGTGCAGAGAGGTCACGGCGACGGGCGGAGGCCGTGGCGACGGCCGAGCCGCGGCCGGGCCAGTGACACCGCAGAGGGGTCAGGGACACTGCCGGGGGACCGGGGCACCACCGGGGGACCAGGGCACCGCCGAAGGGTCGTGGGCAACGCAGAAAGTGTCAGGGGCACCGTGGAGGGGTCAGGGGCGCCGCGGAGGGGTCGTGGGCAACGCAGAAAGTGTCAGGGGCACCGCGGAGTGAGGGGCACCCCGGAAGAACTAGGGGCACCGCGGGAGCAGAGCCGCAAGCCACGGCCGGGACAGCCGCCGCTGCGGTGAAGGCTATGGAGCGCGTGCAGCTTCTGAATAACGGCTACTGCCCGCTGGTCGCACATTCCAGCGATCATTGGTTGTTACATCAGGCAGTCTACAAGGAGCGATGAGCCGTTTCACAAAGTCATGTCGCCTTCCCAAGCAGGGAGCTATTCGTATCCACAATCCAACACGATTTTCCATGCAGTTCGATGTACCTGTAAAGATACTCGTCCACCGGTGCCACGCCCCACCTCGATATTACTTAACTATGCATGATCGAATAAAAATAGTCGTGACGATGGGGATGACTTGGAATTTAGGCTCGCGGGCGCTCATACCACTGGTCATGCGGCGTAAGCGAGCGCTGCACTTTCACAGCACAGAGGGCCGCCTTCTGCCGCCGGCGTGAACGGTGCACATGAGTCTGCAGATTCTCCAATCAACAACGTCCGTGTGCCGCAAAACACACGAACGGAGTTGTGTCCCTGACAAGCAATACCGCCCGACGAGGCTTCACGACGTCACAGATACCAGATCGGGAGCATTGGGGCCAGCACCGGCTGCTGAGCCTGCTCCAGCCCGCTGGACACAGACGAGCTTCGGAACTCCCCGGCCGCGACGTCCATTGCTGGGTGATGGAGCGCGCCGCGTGGGCCGCACCTGATACCACAGCCGCCGCCAAAATTAGAGCGGGCTTAGTGAAGCATGGAACCGATGATAAACTGACATAGCCGCAGAGTCATTTACGTTCGCTCCATTAGATGATCACAAGACCCAAGTCGCGGTAGATGAGCTTTACCCAATACTGGCGCTGTTTTGACCCCGTCGGGCAACGCAAGTCATCAAGTTCAAGATAAACGTTCCTTGAATAAGGCCGAAACGCTAAATGCAGGTTGAAACGCGCCTGAGATGCTTAACTGTGAAGTTTCTCGCAGATCCATGTTTGAGGTTTGAGAAGGTCAGGAATGTCTGCACGTTGGGTAACGCCCCTGCACGCTATTTTTCTTCTTTCTTTTTGCGCCATCCCTCCACCATGGTGTTGGTAAAGAGCTTGCCTCAGATTAGCGTGGTCAAACAGCAGAACTAGTAATGTCGAAAGAATATCCCGGAGCTGACTTTACTTGGGTACTGGGAATACTCAGCTATAAGAAAATATTTATCATTCTAACAGATGTCAGATCTGGCAGTTATACGGTATCAATTGTAGACAAAACAAGCGTTGCATGAGACGGACACCATATTCCGCCGCCCCATTAATACTACCAACCCCTAACACCCTGAAAAATGTCACTTGCTGAGCTCGTGCACTATTGCACAGGCTGTCCTCCGCTGAGCTGTTCACACTCTGGCGGCCCCGCAAGCCCCACGCACCCACCCACCTACACTTCCCCATTCCCCTCACACACGCACGCATGCGCGCACGCACGCATCAACGCGCTCTCACCTCTCGCGGTGGTGTCCAGCGACGTCGAAGGTCAGCCTGTCCCGGCTCGGCTCGCTAGCATTGCTCGAGTCGATGCTCTTCTGTCGCTGCAGGCGGCCCACCGACGACGGCGGCGGCGGCGGCGGCGGCGGCGGTGGCGCCATCGTCGCCTCGCGCGCCGCCGCGTCTGTGACGTCCCCGTCGCCAGCGCCGTCGGCAGGCTCGTCGGCGACGGCGGCGGCGCGGCGCGCGTTGAGGCCGCTAATCTTTGTGTCGCGGTACGTGCCGTCCAGCGAGATGTTGGAGAGGAACGCGAGCGCGGCCAGCCGGCGCCGCGAGCGGTGGCGCACCGCCCGGCTAGGCGGGGTCATCTCGCCCGCATGCACGGAGCGGCGCGTCGATTACCGACACCTGGCGGCAGCCGCAGGCTCAGCACAGGGACAGGGGGGCCGACAGGGGCGGATGTTCCTTGATGGCCTCTTGCCCTGTGTTTGTCACATTTGACTTTGGTGATATGGCCTCTTCCCATGCCTGACTTTCTAGCGTAACCCATCTCCCTGTTATCTCCCAATCCAGAAGCACAACGCATTCTCTCCCGCACGGCAGGTAAGCATCCAAAGGCTCGATAACCAGAGCCAACTGTGACCAGCGAAGAACGGCCAGCCATTAAAACGCTCAAGAATGATGGCAGCATCATCATATTCCCACTGAGAAAGGCAATGTCAAAGAAGTCAACTGCCAAGCACAGTGCACTCGCAAGCTGAAGAACTTGGTGAGTGACCAGTAACAAAGCAAATTGGAGAAAGGTCCTATGTCAACAACCGAACGGACATTGACCAAGCTGTTACAGAAGAATAAGGATAATCTGGCTGTTCAATACGAGCATCCAAATCAGCCTTGCACACAATGTCATGCTGTAATACTGTAATCACCATTACAGCAAACTGCCACATCATAATACTGTAATCAGTATTACACGAACTGCCACACTGTAATGCCATAATGAGCATTACACAAACTGTGACACTGTAATGCCGTGATCAGCATTACAGCAAACTGCTACACTGTAATCCCATAATAAGCATTACAGCAGACCACCACACCGTAATGCCATAATGAGCATTACACAACCTGTCACACTGTAATGCCGTAATCAGCATTACAGCAAACTGCCACACCGTTATGCTGTAATCAGCATTACATAAACTGCCACACTGTAACGCTGTAATGAGCATTGCACAAACTGTCATCACACTGTAATGCCGTAATCAGCATTACAGCAAACTGCCACACCGTAATGCCGTACTCGGCATTACAGCAAACTGCCACACAGGGAACAAATATCAAAGCTACGCAAGATCGTTGTACCCCTAGAACGCATTGTCAGCTTCAGGGGTTCCGATTGCCATCCAATCAGGTGCTCCCTGGTCAAGAAAGTGAGCTCTCTATGTCGGAATGCATCACCATTGGTGCTGATAATCCCAGGACTTGTCCGCAACCCCGGGATGACGGGATTTCGAGAAGTTCAATCCCGGAATATACCGAGATCCTGGGATTGAGCACTTCTTTTCTAAACCAGCCGACAATGCAGAGTTTTCCTTAAATGGTCCATCTCTCGTGCATGTTCTGGCCAGAACAGTATCCAGGTCATCGTCTGTTTTCCATACGTAGCAGAAATTCAAGGCCCGAGTTTCTTTCACAGACAGTGCTGTAGACCTGGAGCTCTCACCCTGACCTTCGCCGGTTTCAAAATGAGATGTCTTCCTGAAGAGATAGTCTAGCAACATCCATACCAACATGCTTACTCTTGAGATAGACATAGACTCCTCTTGAGGAACCTCCGGATATTTTCAGCGTTCTTTACATTACGACGCTTCGCTGTGTGTCCCATGAGTGTCGCACACTGCGCTTCCTTTAAATCCCCACTAAATCACATCTTTTTGGCAGCGTTGACATTTAAAGAGATGCACACCATGAGCTCAGAACGCCCCAAAACGCCCGGCTCGCCTCGTCGGTCATTCCGCTACTATGCACAGGCAGTAACTGAGCCACAGGACATGTTCGTCCATGCTACGACGGTCGACCTGCCACAACTCAACAGTCGGTGTAGCTAGCCATCGGGTCCCCGGCTAATATGGCCTGTTGCGCCGCGTGCGTGAGGAGGCGGCGCGCGAGGAATGAGCACTAGCTCTGAGGCTGACACTGTGCAAAACGATGCCAGGCATGGTTCTTAGTTGCAGAACGCAACTGGCTTTTACGAGAGTTCGCAATGTACGGCGCGAGTTTTGGACTAAAAACCACACGATCTCTTCACTTCATGTGTTAAACAAAGTTAGCTTATATGTTTGTTTGTTTCACATACTACCAGCGATGCTCATTACACAATGCTTAAAATGTGAAAATTGCGTGTGAATTCCGAAACCCCGGCAGCCTCTAATCGCGTGATTCTGGATCAACACAGCTACGGGATCGCTGAATTATCAGTCCAAATCACCGTCCAGGAAGGAAAAGAACTTGACCCACTTTGTCTCATTATCGCAAGTACTAGA